ATTGCCATTTGCGACGAAAAACACAAATGTTCAGAAAGTTCATTGTTACTATGCAGCTATTTAAATTTGTCTTGTCTATTACCAATGCTATGTCTTTTCACCTGCACAAACAAGATTCCCACCACTTCTCATTACATAGTGTGGTATTATATATATTCATATAACCTTACGTCATTTATGTTTTACTCATCTATTCAGAAACGCTGACAATGTTTTACTTAAAATGCAGTCATCTTACAATAAACAGTATTATCCAAACAAGTTTTTGTTTTTTTTTCATGAAATAACATACAGTAGTAGCTTGACAACCCTGCCACGCCAAATGCTATGCAAGAAGTGAATTGGCTTTGATGTATCATTCATTGTCCAGAGCCAAATGTAAACATCTTACTGCTGCATGCCTGCATTCTTTGATCAGATTCTCTGGAATTTGATACTGTAATTACTCATGTTTGGCTACAATAGATTGTACACATGCCAGCAATTCTATTGGATTACCAAGTTTATACAATCTAGTTTAATTATTAAAGCATTAATACGAGTTATTACAAAATTTTAAAACTGGCTTGCATTTGCCCAAATGTGAGCACTACATTAATTATACAAATAATCATTAATTAAAACATTATGGTACATACTAAAGTATTCAAAACATTTACCAGTACATAAAAATCAAATAAAATTTACCATTTTGCATCATACATATCCCATTCTCTCTCCATGATCTCAAGGCAGTTTATAGTTGGGACTGTAGTAAAATGAGACTCCTGCACACAAGCCTACATTGTCTCTGCCATGGAATAAAGGCACCCTTGTACAATGAACAAATCTGTACACAAATCCCATAATGGGAATATGAGCTTAAAGCTTTCAACTAGAACATAAATACAAATATTGGTTTTCCAAAATATAAAATTTGACTTGTATATATAAGTTAAGAAACATGGAGTATCGAGTAAACAAAACATGCAGAACTACACCCACTACCTTATTTGATTTTCTTTTTATGAAGTTAGACTGTAAACTGAAACTCCAGACCATCTTACGAATCTCAAGCATCCCCAAGCTAGCAGACCAACTAATGTTGCCTTAAATGTCCATTTGAATATACGTCCTGATAATGATGGCCCTGGAATGCTGATAAAAGAAATAAAGCATTAGATGTATTTTTAGTGGCTCATAAAGACAACTTAGTTGAGGATCCGCACATATACAAAAGGTGTGCAGTGTCTCCTTGCATTGACTTGATGTATTTATCTGGACAGGGTAAATTCTTTGATCAGTATGAAGTGAAGTGGAAAATTGAACGACATCCTTGAATTTGTATCAAAAAGAAGACTGAAAGATTTCAGAATTGAAAGAAATTTGATGAAAGACTCAAGGACTTGATGACTAGGTGGGGTATGAGGTTAAGTCAAATGAGATGTTAAAATCTATGGTACCACTAAAACTAACACTCGATGTAAACTTTCATAGAGCCAAAATGATAGAATGTATGTGTGTGTGCTAGTCTATTTGAAGATTGTTTGCTAGTAACTCAGTGTAGTGTAGTGTGGTGTGAGCTGGCTTCAGACGAGTTGGTTTAGATGCGAGTTAGTATTAAGCTATCGTGGTTGGGTTTTGTGGAAGTTTGTTCTGGTATGCACAAACCTTAGATCTCAATTCCTAAATGGGGATCAATGCACTGTGAAGCTACATGTAGGCACACATTGAGTTTGTTGAACTCCTCAAGCAGAAATATATACTGCAGACTTGTGTATCACTTTCTTGTCTCGTCAAATGTATCCAAATTTCTCAATTATATTTGCTCTAATAGTAGCACCTGCGCCAACATACATATTTGATTTGTCTGTGGCTAAAATAATTTATATGTTAACATTTGTATTTTAGGCAAACTTTTTATAGAGCAAATACAGTATCTAAATTTATTATGGCCCTATTATTAATCAGTTATCAACACATAATAGGGATGTTTTTCTTATGTTGAATATTTACTTATAAAGTCTTGTCATGACTGTTAGTTAAGTACAGTAGTAAACAAAACTGAAATAAGTCAGACATTTTGAATTAGAACATGAAACAAATTACATGATGTATAATGTTGTTGTAAAGTTTGATTGCAATCAGTCAATGTACAAATGTATGTCAGAGACATGGCTTTAGAACTGCATTTGTATTCGGTGATTTTGAAACCAATCTGAAAAAAACATTATGGTCCTTTACATATATATATTACATGTTCATTGTATGTAGGAAGATGTACAATAGCTGAGATCTGGGTCTGAAATGAAGTTTTAACATTAAAATGGCTGTCATTCGGCCATCTTGAATATGATGGACAAAAAAAAAACATGCATATATACAAGTTTGAAGGGAATAGGCATGTCAGAGATATCTCAAGAAGAGCATTTGTTTTCGTTATGGTTGAATGTGATCGGTCCAGTCAAGTTGAAGATAGAGGTGGGCATGCATGGACGAACAGATGCATGCACAGAGGTCAATCCATAAGTCCCTATGTCCGAACAGAGACTGAAATTCTGCCAAGTCCAGTAGATGGAGGAATAGAATACAGTATAGTATATAGAGCAAATAAACATGTGTGACTACATCCTTTCAGAAACTGAACCATGTGACTTACTTCATTATTTGACTCATGTCTTTGGGCTTATCCCAGTTTTCCACAATACCAGGCACATGTCCCATACCAACAACACCCACAACTACTGACGGTATGTAACCTAGGAAAGAAAACATAGTCAAAATATTGTAACCTTTCCCCAGAAAAAACTGTTAAATACATGTATAATATACCAAAAAACACTAGTTCCAACAGCAGCTTTTAGACCTGGTAACTGTAATAGTAAATACAATTCTGCATGC